GGTTAAGGGTGCCGACTCCCTTAACAGAGTCCCTGTCCTCAGCAGGGATGGCCTTCAGCATGGCCTTGGCCATCTAAACCAGGTCTGGCTCTTGAGGGGCTTCTGCAAAGAAAACTGATTAGTGTGTGGCATAATAATACAAAGTCAGCCGCCTGAAATCAGAGAAGTCGGTAGTTTGATCAAACTTCGAAAATTTGAGCAAGTTATACCTGTGGCCGCCTCTTTTTCCCTTGGGGCCGGCTGCTCCTAGTGGTGGCTGGAGTCCTCGACCCACTTTGGGGAGTCCTACCTTTCCTCCCAACCGTCTGTCTCCTGGCACCGCCAGGAGTCGGCACTTCCCCCACCGTCTGTTTTTGACGCTTGGGGTCCGGCTGAGTTGAGGAGGAGGGTCTGACAGTGTCGCTCTGCAACAAGACAATGAATCAAAAACAGGCGACAAAAATGATTGCTAAATTAAAAAGAAGGGAAATTATGCTAAAGTGAAGAAGCTCACCCTAGGCGCCTGTTTGGCAGGCGACTCCTCTGTAGACCGCTTGCCAAGAATGGCTGCGCGGAGTTGGGCGGCTATCTTTTTGGAGGCCGAGATCTTTTCCATAGCTTTATCTGCAAAAGATTAATCAGATGGTTAGACACAAAAATTAACCAAGTCTATCAAGACACGCTAAATAGGCGGTCCTCTACCTCTCGACATCTCCTCGCTAAGGCCGTAGGCGGCCAGGTACTTCCCATCGTATAACCATTTATACTTTGGGATGTAATTTTGAGGGACGAACTCCCTCACCCCAGTCTCGGGGTTCGCCTGTATGTACACTTTGAAGAGCCCTCTATCCAGGATCTCTTCCCTTGCTTAATGTGGAACAGGCGGCAGATCAGAGCCGCCTGTTAGGTAAGGTGGATCCCTGTTCCACCTGTTGTAATTTTTGTTCTTGACCCTGTCAGGGTTGGACACTATGTAGAAGGTGTTCCTCCAATCCTTCCACTTTTTCTCCTTTCCCATGGTCATCATGTAGCCTTTATGGCTAGACAACAGGTACCGCTTGTTTTGGGGGTCCGGTTGAGGTAATTCATGTGAGAAAAAACTTCAAAGCTTGGCTCTACCCCATACATCTCGCAGCCAGCAACATAGCCCAAGATGTTGAACCATGAGTTTGGGGCCAGTTGCTAGAGACCCAGCTGGTACCCATCCAAAATCCTCTCTACAGCCGGATGTAGAGGAAATCTTAAACCAGCTTTAATGGCCGCCTCATAGCAGCCAAAACACTCGTCCCTATAGCTGGACGACTCTGGCCAGACTACCGTATCCTCGGCATCCGACACAGTTAGAATGTAACCATGTCCCATCGCATGGTCAGCCCTTAAGCTCCCTATTTTTTCAGACATGGCCTTGCGCGTGCCTTTAGAAATAGGGAGTGTACATTTCCTTTTGGGTGGCAGCCGGCTCAACCCATCTCTCCGAGATCTCGCTTATGGAATCACTTGAGCTACTAGGGACGCCAGGCGGCACGTCCGAGATCTCGCTTATGGGCACGTAAAATGAGGAGCCTTCTGAATTCGTAATCCTGGTCGTTCTCTTTGTTCTGGCCATGGTGTCTTGCATAGACACATAGACAGCCGGACTCTGGCCTGTTCGCAAAGTATGGTCCAGAATGGGGCAGGCGGCACTCCTAGTTCTAGATTCAGCCATCCCTGGTGACCGGCTGATCACTAACCTAGGCCGTGCCAGGTGCTTTTGGGCTACCATATTCTAAAACAGAAAAAAAAACAAAGAGAAAGTGAAAAAGGAAATAGGCGGTTACCTTAGAAGTAGAGAAGTCTTGGAACCCTTGAAAAATTTAACAGCTGAAAAAGGAGGCGGTCTAGGAACAGGCGGTCTGTAAAAACAAGCGGTCTGTAAAAACAAGCGGCGGTAGTCCAAAGATTCAGAGCAGTCGTCCAAAGTCCTGTCTTAAAAGTTTCTAGAATGTCCAAATGATTTGGACACCCCCTATTTATAGTGGGGGAATTTCAAGGATCATAAAAAAAACGGTAAAAAACGTTCTCCAATCATGGCGTGACACCTGTCACAGGCACCACGTGGCATGCCACGTCACCCCTATGAGGGGCAAATGATTAGGGGATTTTTCCCCGCCACGTGTCATCCACGTGGGCCAATCAGATTCTTCCATGTGTCACCTCGTGAGAGGTCCAAGGTGGACCAGTCAGGTCACGACACGTGGCAGGCAGAATTGCCAACTGAGCAAGTGGCCTCCTACGGCCCAAAGTTCCAGGCAATGCCCAATTAGCCCTAGGTTTACTAAAACCTACTATTGGGCACGTTTTCCAAGACCTTATAAAAGGGAGATGTTTCCCTCCTAGGAACATCTATTCAGATATATTCAATACACATTAACTCTGCATCAGAGAAAGTCAGACACCTGACACCCCAAACCGAGCAATTATACATTGCAGATCCTCTCTTGGAATCCGAAAGAGACCCTTTATTTTCCGCACTTCACTCCTCAAACACGTTCTAACTTGATCGTTGGAGGCAGAGCTCCCACCCCCCGAAGTCTTCGTTGTTTTGCAGGTACAGGCGTCCAGAAGTCAGTCTTTGAATTATAACTCTCCCGAAGGATATCAAAAAACCCCGAAACAGTCATCATTTCATTCAAGACTATGTTAGGTTTATTTGGGCCATGAGTAGTTTCAAGTTAGGTGAATGAAAGATTAGGTAAAATCAAGTATTTTTTAAATAGTACTTTATTTGAAATTACAGTTGTTAATGCAAAATAACAGTATTTGAATGCATAATAACAGTATACTTAATTAACGTTATTATCAGAAATAACATTGTTAAAATGCTTCCTTACAAAAAAAAAAAGAAATGTTAAAATGCAAAGTATCATTATGAAATAACGGAATCAAAATGCAAAATAAACATAGATGTATCTCAATTAACAGTAACAAAAGGACAAATAAACATAGATGTATCTCAATTCTCAAATAGAAGTACTATCATATACTTCAATACTACTATATGATAAATCAACCTAGTGAATTTTTCAAATACTACTATATGATAGAAGAATTTTTTTTTTTATTATTATTTCAAGACTGTTAAATAATAATAATGAATAAAGAGTAAGATGCCTCAAATTGTAGTATGTTAATGCAGAATAATTGTATTAAAAATACAATACAACAGTATATTCCGTCAAATTTCAGTATTAAAATGCATAATAAAAGTAGTTGTCTCAAATTGTTGGTAAATCCCACAAGTTTTGAACACTAAACTCATGGATATAAGATCATATTTCTTACCATTTTAATATCTTATATCCAATACTACAATTTAAGTTCTCTATATACACATAAATAAATATATACTTCCTCCGTTTCTTTATACTTGCAATACACTTTATCACGATATTTAAGAAAAATGGACCTCGTATAATATAATACACTTAAAATGGGGATAAGAGATTGTTAGGAGCATAATCAGGTGGGCCATGAACTTTAAAGAAAGATAATAGTACAATTTTCATCATAAAAACCTTTCTTTTATAATGATTTTAGAGAAGTGTTGCAAGTATAAAGAATCGGAGGAAGTATATCTTTAAGTAAGCAAAAAATATATAAAATAATTATATAGCTTGGAAAAATTGAGTAAAGAAGAATAACCTCAACAATTCCAAAACAATGAAGAATAATTCTCTTTAAATCTTATTTTTAACTAATATTATATCTTAAAGTAGCAATTCAGCGCAACACCCATACTACACACTAGCCGTTTGTTTTAAAACCAATGCGTAATGAGAATTTATTTTTAATTCACCCAATATTGATGGAAATCTCTCTTTGTTGTCAAACTTAATTCGGAGGATATTCCACGTAATTTCCAATAAACTTGGTAAAAACATGTAGAATATTCCACAATTATATAATTAACTTGTAAAATATATAGTTCCAAATCATCTTAAAGATAAAATATAAAGCGTGTCTCAAATTACAGTATGATAAAGCGGAATAACAGTATTAAAATGCATAATAACTGTATGCTCCCTCCGTTTTTTATTCTGCTTAATTTCATTGTAAGTCTTTTTTTGTTCTACTTAAATTTCATAAATTTTATTATGTTTTTTTTTCTTTGTATTCACCTTGTTCTTTATGTATATTTTTTTTGATACCGTACTACTTTTACTATGTTCCCCTTCATTCTATTTTTAGTATACTACTTTTACTCTTACCCCTTTAACAGTATTCTCTCTCAATTCACTTTGTTTTTACACAAATCCATTTTTACATTCTTAACATAAAAGAACGAAGGGGGAACTTAACATTACTATGTAGAACTAATATTGCTAAAATGTAAGGTATTAGTATCAAATAACAAAATTAAAATTGCTAATTAAACATAACTATCTATCAATTAACAATATACAAATGCAAAATAACCAAAGGTATGGTAAAAATAACAGTATTAAAATGCAAAAGAAAGTTGCTCCATTTCTTCTAGGTAAAAATGTCGATGCAAATTTATAACAAATAGTATCTATAAATTTTATAAATAACCATAAGTAAGTATATATTATTAGGGGTGAGCAAATCGGGTATCCGGTCAAAATTTTAGAAACCGGACTCGGAATTGGTTGGGATCGGGTCCTAAAACTCAAAATCGAAATTTGAATTGGTTCAACTAGGTCCCTAAATTTAGGAATGGAAATTGGAACCACCGGGTACCAGTTCCGAGTACCTACTTATGTATATAATTGTTAAAATATAATACAGATTATAATATTTAATTTGTTTTATCTTCATTTTTAGCGTATAATACTTATATGTATATATGCATTAAGCTATTTTATTTATGTTAGGTATTACTTTTTTTATTTTTTTTATTTTACTAATTAGTATCTTCAACATACATATATATATATATATTTAATTATATTTGGTTTAATATTATGTTGGGTAATTGGATAACCAACCGGTTCCAAGTCCGAAAAATTGAGAATTGTAATTGAAACCGGTTACAATTGGTTCCTTAATTTATCACCCAAAATTGGAACCATCGAATCCAATCTAATTTCGAACCCATCGATTCCCAACCAGTTCCGATTCCAATTCCGGGTATCCAGAATTTTTGCTCAACCCTATAAATAATAATAATTGAACATTAATAAGCTATGTATTAAAACGATTTCAACGAGTACCACGACTAGGAATTGGGCAACCCTCCAAATTGTTTGGAGAGTAACATGAATGAAAAAAAATTGTAACATTAATTGATTATACATTTAAGTACAGTAAAATAAAAGTTTTTGGCCAAATACTTTAGGACTTTTAGATCACAAAAAAAAAGTTTACATTAGATTAGACAATTTCATATCATAAACTCTTGATCTTACCACCCAAAAAAAAAAAATTAAATAAAAAAATAAATAATAATAATGTAACAAAAAAACTACATGATTTGTCATGTAATATTTTCAAATGGTTTTAATTGAACTTCAATTGCTCCGGACCCCATAAAAGTTCATTATTCCTCACTTAAACTCTTAACACACAATTAGATAGATCTTGATTTGTGTTGGCGATAATCAACTCAGTTTGAAGCTCCAGTCTACTAGATTGTGGTCCTCTTTGAATTCCCTGCAAAGCCCACAACCCAATCACGAGACATGCATTGACTTAAAAACCTTTTGTGCAAATTATATATGTAAAGAATAAACACAACAATTACCAACCCCTATTATATTTTCTATTAACAATGAAATCACATTAACACAGTCTAATCTTCTATTAACACAATCAAATATTCCTATACAATCAAAACTAGACATCGCATATCTTAGAATTCTTTCCCAACAGTCTTTGCAATATTTCAAGATTCATCAGACTGAAGGTCATCCTATGATTCTGATTACAGATTTGTATCAAACTATGCCAATCAACTAGACTCCATCACTGAACAGTGAGTATAAGGAACGTTCCAATTTCATTTCACTTCAATCCAACAAGAACGATCCTGTTCGTGACAAAGGTACAGTGCTTTCGCTCAAACCCATTCGTCAAAGGTAAATTTCATATAGATTAACCCAATACCGCGATACCAATACATCTAATAGGAAACAGTTTGATGATAATAAGAAGTTGACATAAAGAGTGTTAAAAGAAGAGCTAACATGAGGCTCCATGACAGAAGTCTTTACCAACATATTCTCAAAACACATGAAATCTGAGTAAAGCTAACAATATCAATATTAATATATTTCATTCCAAGCTATGCCTTAAGTAACTTGAACCGATCAGAAGTCAATTTACTTGGGTCCAATATCATCTAGAAAGCTTTAGATGATATGCAAAAGGAATAAGCCAATTATAAGAACAAGCAAATTATGCAAAGGAACAATCCAATTATGCAAGACAATCATAAGAAACTCAACCAAATTTCAATAACTTCACCAATAATAGATAAAAGAGCTTTGGGAGGTTGCTTTATTTTGGAATTCCTGGCCTATTCTTAAATCAGGTATATTATATGATAGCAGTAGTAACTTATTATGAATGAATTTCCTTTGCTCATTCTGATTTTAATCATCTAGTTTGTAATTAAGGGAGCACAATAGTGTTTTTCATGACATGATACCACAAATATTCCGTGGCTCTTCTCTAACAAAGATTCATGAATTGAGTTTCTCACTCCCCCTCCTCTTCCCTTTCTTAAGGACGCACTTGTGCAAGAAGAACATGTAATCACACAACATAGCTCAAGGAGGAGAGGAATCTATGTTTGCGTATTCATCATAATCATCATAAAGATACCCCATACAGGCAACACTCTCTTTTTGCTTGAACCAAGTATATAGAATCTATTTCTCCAAATTCTTTGTAGGTTTTTAACAGATGTTCTGCCATCTTATCAAAATTGATATAGTATTTATTTTGCTGACCTTTAATGGCTATAAGAGCTCAGCCAAACAATTACACTGATTCATGCAAGCAATTATACTCAATTACGCAAGACAATTATGGCTATTATATAATCAAGCCAATTATGAAAGTTTTCTCAAATGAGCAATTACACTAATTCAACACAACCAAGCAACTACACTAATTAAACACAACCAAGCAATTACAAAAACTCAACCAAGCACTTATAAGAACTCAACCAAGCACTTATAAGAACTCAACCACACACTTATAAGAGCTCAGCTCTCTTTCAAGACAAATATCAAGCTGAAGATCAAAACGATTATCAACAAATTATATGTAGAATCTGAAAAGCCAATTATGCAAAATTAAAAACTACCTCCTCCGATCCATATTCACAAAAATGTATTAAATCTTGTTAAAGACCAACCTTTAATACAACACCGCTCCATCGCCGTCCTTTCACCCAAAAATTTGAACAAATAAACTAACCTTTTCAACAATCGCACGTCCTTCGACCTCCCTTCCGCCCCTTCCACCCCTTCGACCTGCAAAAAAAACCCTAATTAACATAACAAATAACTATTTTTTGGAAATAATTCATACATACAGCTTCAGGTGTTTACTTGACATCGTAATAGGCTTAGTTTACTTCAACACCTTCGATCTTTACTCACAAACGGAAAGTTCAAACTTAGCCACAACACCTTACGAAACACTACGATTCAGCTTTTCACAACTACTTTTACCAAAATTGGAGACTTACACCAGGATGAACTCAACCAACATCAACAAACTCGACAAAATTCGATAATTTCCACAGCTCTTTAGCTAGGTTTTCGCAATTTTTTCCGGCGAGAGATTTCCGGTGGGGAACCTTAGAGAGAGTTTTTTTTTACAGCAGTAACTATGAATGGAGATAAGAGAGAGCTTTTTTACAGTCAGTAACAAGTTATGACTTACTGCAAGATTTTTCAACGAAATGACGATTTTGCCCCCAGGTATTGGACACACATGTCCATACCGGGTAGCGGTTCATCACGCCTCGTACAAACATCCATTTAACACTTGCCCTGACCTAAAAAAAGCATTTTAGTGGAGAAATTTATTTTTTATCACAAGTACATACTCCCTTCGCCCACAATTATCTGCAACATTTGCCATAAATGGATGCTCTCTATTATCTGCAACAATTTATTTTTTTCCTCTTTTAGTAAATTTTTAACATCAAAATGTCAACCTTACCCTTACTTAAAACTTTTAACTTTGTTTACAATTTGTTAATTACACTGACTTAAATTCTAACTATCTAACTCACCCTAATGATTCCCACCAAAATATAACCCCCTCCCCTCTTGTCTCATCAGCAACCTTTCATCTCCCAACCACCACATTCAATGAACTGCATTGAATTGGCCTTGAAGATGCAGCCCAGATTGATTCATCTTCAGAAGAATTCTCCAGTTCATTCTAACACCTCCTCTCTCCCCTCTTCTCTCTCCACTTCTTCGTTTGTTGTTCTTCCCATTTGCTCTGCGAAACCCTAACTCCAATTTCTTCATCTCTCTCTGAAAAAATGAATAACAATCCAGATCTGAACGAGTCCCCTAATGCCTCACCCCCGAGAGGCACACTGAACCTTCGTTTACTCGGTACAAGTTGCAGCGAGGAACTGGGATCTTGAAACCAATTCGTCGGTGCTCTTCCTCCTTTTCCAGATTCACCCATGGAAAAATAGGAGCGAAACTCGTTGAGAACTTGGGAGCGATGAAGAAAAGGAAGAGGGTAGAAGGAGGTTATGGTGATTCCTGACTTCCCGGAGGGTTGAGGACAGATCTAGCGAAGAATGGGGTCCAGAAGGAGCCAGTAGTGGTTGTGGAGGTTCCTGACTCTCCGAAGGAGGTGACTGCGGTCTTCTCTGACCCTCCAACGGCTCCAGCCACCTCTGGCTCCGCTAGTGGGAGGAAAAGGTCCAGATCTGTGTTTACAGGGGACTATAGTGAGTGGGACCCTGATTACATGACCTATCTAAGGGACAAATACCCTCATGACTTCCCTCCCACAAACTGATCTTGCAGCGTAACTATTACTAAACCCTAATTTTGATTTTAGTTGTTTTGATTTAGCTTTGCCTTGTTTAAATGGTTGTTGTTGGTGCTTATCATTGTCGAAACACATGTGAAGTGTGCATGTGTGAGTTCTTACAATTGTTTGTTGCTGGATTATGATGCTTGATTGTGTTGTTTTGGAGGTTGGATTATGTATTCTTCTATATATGACGCTGGAATATGTTGGATGGTTGTTTGTGTACACTGCTTGTTTTTGTTTATGTATGCTTGGTTATATTATGTTGGATTGATGTTGATGGATTATGTTGGTCTGTGTTGGATTTGCTGGGTGCTTGTAGTGTTGGAATGGCCAAGGGAATGCATGGTTGATGGATGATGGGTTATGTTGGATGGTTGTTTGTGTATAGTCCCACTTGGATGTTGCTTAGTAGTGCTTGCAAGTCAGTGGTTGTGCCTTTCTGTATGAGTCCCCCATAAAGTGTTTTGTGTGTGAACAAATTCCAAATGATGAAGGGGCTCACTTTGAGTTGGATGTGTAGGTTTGTTTTGCTCCAATAACTGCCTTTTAACTCTTGTTGTTGAGGTAACAACCTACAACATGCCACTGAAACAAAAGCAAACTCCCTGATGTAATTCATTTTTCAACATTCATCCTAATATTCATTCATTACACTTTAAAAACTTACATGTTCACAAACCCTAAACCTAATCATTCATTACATGACTGCTTGAAAATAAGAAAGTTTATCTACCAAAATACACATAACCAAATCATTATAAGAATCAACAAAAAAAAAAAAGTTGCTTACTTAACACAAAAACCAGTTGTGAGTCCATATTTGGTTATGTGTGGAAGTCATGTTGTCATTGAATGATGGTGTTGTACCTAGTCTACATCAACCTCTGTCTCCATGTAGTCTGCATTGTGTTGATTAGTTGGAATAAAAAGAGTGTTGAGGTGCTCAACTGCTTGTTGAATGAGTCCCCTTTCAACTTTCAAAAACTCAAGAAGAAGACCTAGGTTGTCCAACCTTTTCTTGCCCATACGAGGTGGATTGAAGTTATTACCCCTTCTTTTTCTAGAATCTTTTTCATTACTCCTTACAAAGTGATCCATGAGTACTTGTTGAGTATTGGATCAAACCATTCATAAGCCTCATACACTTTCTCTATTAATTCATCAATTTTTGTGGGAAATGACTGGTATTGCAAGGACTGAATAACCTTGAACAAACTAAGGTCCAAAACATTCAGATTTGGAGATTGTGCTGGCTGAAACACCATTTGAATGTTGAACCCATTTGCTGTACATGTTGCAATGAAGTCATCATCCATTGGAATTTGATGTGGCTTAGCATTGTCCCATTGAATGAATATGTCCTCAGACAAAATATGATGCCATTGCCTGTGTAGTGCTCGAATGATGTTAGTCATGAGCATTTTCCTGATTTCTTCTTTGGTCACACTCTGCACAGCCTTTATCTCCATGACCCTTGTGTTTCGGGGTTTTCTGATGTCCTGCGGGAGAGTTACAATTCCGAGACTGGAACCGGACGCCTGTACCTGCAAAATAACGGAGACTCCTGAGAGCTCCGCCTCCAACGGTCAAGTTAGTACCTGATTAAGGAGTAATTAATACGGAAATTAAAGTAATAAGATCTCTCTAGGTGAGAGTGTTTAATGTTGGTAATCTGCGTCGTTAGCGAGATTAGCCGGTTATTAGTGTTCCGTAATGTTTCTGTTCTTCTCTTGATTTCTTGATGTTTTCTTGACTTCTTAATTAATGAGGATTAATTAAGTATTTATAGCCTTGAGAAGCGTGCCACTCTCTAGGTTTAGGGTAAACCTAGGGCTGACCGGGCCTCTAGACAGGATTGGGCCTTGATGGCCGGTTTTCCCATTTGGCATGGGTGGACACGTGGCGTGCCTCGATTGGTCCGTAGAGGACGTATCTGTGATTGACACGTGGCAGGCTCCTATTGGCCTTCGTGAAGGACACGTGGCGGAACCTGGTTGGTCCACTTGTCAGACGGTGATTGGTGGATAAAAATCCCCTAATCATTTGCCCCTCACAGGTGGCACGTGACTGGTCACGTGTCGCCTGTGACAGGTGTCGCACGGTGACAGGCGACGGCCTGCTACAGGTGTCACCTTGCAAACGGCCGAGAGATTTTCCCGCCCAAATTTTGAATTTGGAAGCGACCTTTCGCCTTCTCACCTTGCCTATATAAGGAAGTGCTGACTTCGGTCATTTTCACATTTGAGAACTTTGCGAGAACATTCGGACCCCTGAACTTGCTCTGACATTTCGGACCTTTTCTGCCTACCGCCTGTTCTGACAAGCCGACTGCACCGGACTTCCAGAACTTCCTCAACCGTCACTCGTTCAGGTAACTCAGTTCTCTTACTCTTAATTTTCTTTTTATTTTTTGAAATGGCACCACGGAAGCACACGACACGACCTAAGTTAGTGATCAGCCGGTCACCGGGGACGGCTGAATCTAGGACTAGGAGTGCCGCCTGCCCTTTTCTGGACCCATCTTTGCCCTTTATACAAAGTCCGACTGTATCTGTGTCTATGCAGAACGTGATGGCCAGAACAAAACAGACTGCTATGATATCAAACTCAGACGGCTCCTCCCAAAGGGTGCTCATTAGTGAAACATCTGACCAGGCGCCAGATGTAGAATTGAAACGAGGCGGCTGCCAAGCCGACAGTTCTGAGAGAGGGGCCAAGGTGGTCCCTTCCCATCTTACCGTTGACATGTCTAATTTTCCTCCTGCTCCTTCTAAGGGAGAGGAGGCGGGCCCCTCTGGGAGAGGGGAGGAGTCGTCCTCTTCGGACTCGTCAGAGGACGAGTCCGAGTCCAGCTCTTCTGGCCACAGTTCTCCAGGCTCAGAAGAAAGACATAGCCGCCTACAAGAGGCGAGACTTTCTCATGCAGTTGAGAAGGGGGACAATTGGGCGGAGCCGTCCGCCTCTTACAGGGAGGAAAACGCCCCCTACTACTGCATGGTACCCCGGGGCCGGATCGCAACCATGCAAGACAAAGTGGAGAGCTTTATTGCTAACCACAGAATGGGCCCGAAATTTTTACTGTTCGTGCCGGATCCAGAAGACACTGTCGTCTGGCCGGCTGGTACCAGCTATGATGACGGCTGCTTTGGCTGCTATGTGGCGGCCATCAAAGCTGGACTGCGCTTCCCATTACATCCGGCTGTTCAGCGGATTTTAGATGGGTATGATTTGGGGTTATGGCAGTTAGCCCCCAACTCTTGGGTAAACGTACTCGGCTATGCGGCCGGGTGCGAAATGTACGGGGTGGAGCCAAGCTTTGAGGCTTTCGCCCACATGAACTATCTCAGCCGGACCCCTAAGTCGGGAGGTACCGGCTGGTATCAATTAACAAGCCATAGGGGTTACCTCATGACGAGAGGTAAGGCGAACAAATGGAAGGATTGGCGGAACACCTTCCTTATCATTGAGGGTTCAGACACGGAGCTGAACCAACGTTTTAACAAGTGGAATAGGGATCCGCCTCTTCTCGCAGGCGGCCGCAGCATGCCGCCTGTTCCCCCAAAGGCTAAAAGAGAGATCCTAGACAGAGGACTCTTCAAAGTAGAGACTAGGGTGAACTCTACTTCTGGGGTACGAGAGCAAGTACCCCTAAACTGCGTCCCGAGCTTCAAGTGGCTCTATGACGAGTACTTTTTGGCCGCCTGTGGCCTCAGCAGTCGGTGCTCTAGAGGTAGCCGGCCTGACAAATACTCTGTTTTATTCACGCCTTGTTTACTTGGGATCTTTACTAACTTTGCTGTTTATTTTTTGCAGCTGACGCCATGAGTAAAATAACAGCATCCAAGACTGCGGCGGCCATGTTGCGGGCCTCTCTCATGCAACAGTCTTGTGCCGATTCCCCCAACAAGGGGGCACCCTTGGTAAGCTTCGAAAACTC